AACCCCATTTCCACTCTAGTCCTTGGAAATGAGGATATGGCAGGGATTCAAACTCTTCATTTAGTATCCTCCACGCTTAAGTTCCTTTCAGAGACCCCAGAATAGGGACTAGGGTAGAGGGGAGGGCTTGAGTACATGGAGGCGAGCTGGGGAGGGGAAGGAAGGAGACAGAGCACGCGCATGCGTGCTCCAGCACATTTGTGCACTCCCCTCTGCCACCAAACGCTGCAAAGCCGGTCGCCTGACATGTCGGGCTTGGTCAGAGTGGCTCGGGCACCAGCAAGCCAAAGCCACACCCATGCAGAGAGCAAAAGACTGCCTCTCGTGGGTCTGGAGCTGCCTCGGCCTGCTTCTGTCTCAGCAGGTGCTGTAGCAGAATGACGGCTTCTCCCCGGGGAAATCCAGTGCAAGCAGAGGCCAACCCGTAGAAGCCATCAGCTGCCCGTCTCCATTCACATCCAACCCCAGATGGTAGGGAATCAGACTGTTGCCACCTGACGACCATGCTGACAGGTCAACTACTGACCGCCCTCCCCCCCAGTGCTGGGGGAGAGGAAAGAAGGGTAGCTGGGAAGAGGGTAGAGTCATTTGAGCAGGAGGGATGCTCCACATGTAGTATGTCCTGAGACAGCCAGCGATGCACAGCTCAGGGCAGTGAGGTGAACCTCATTCAGGTGTGCTGACCACAGGAGGGCTGAGGCTGGAAGCCACACTGTCCCCGTCATCTGGGATGCCTGCCACCCATCACCCCGGGCCCGAAGCACATCCCTCAGCCCTGAATGAGCGTGCTGCTTAATCCATCACCTGAGTGACAGGTCGTTCAAGCTGGCACCAACCTGTAGAACAGACTCCAGGAGAGATTCTAAAAATGGAGACACAGAAAGGGACCCTGGACAAATAAGTGTGACTCACTCTTTACTTAAGAGCACAGGGTCTGGAGCAGCTCATGGGGGGTTAAAAAGTCTCCACAGATTAAAGTTTGGGCTGGGTTTGGGGAGCTCTGCCCCTCTCCAACACTGGCTTGACAAATACAGAAGTCTGTGCAAAAAATGCAAGCAGAGTCTGCTAATGTTTCTATTTTTCTCTCACTTTCCTCAAACAGCTAAATCCCAGACTTCTTACAAGTAGGAAATACGCAAACTGCAGAAAACCCCTGATGGTCCTCAACTTTCACTCGCCGATTACTGAAGCATCAGCAGGGGATCTCCAGGGTCCTGGGTGCTCAGAAGAAGAAAGCTCCCAGAGAATGGCCAGGAAAAAATTTTACAAGTGCTCTCCCCTTATCCTCCCATTTCATTGTTCTTATCATCCCCTAAAGGCTAAGAACTCCCCTCCTGCACCTCACAAGCAATCATGCTCAGGACAAGTCCCTGACTTTGCATTCGGCTAGCTCAGAAGCTCCTCAAATCATCCACGTTCCTTAGCATCAAGACCCCAAAAAGAGGCACCTCAGGAAAATCTGCAAGCCTTGGTTGGCCAGGAAAATTCCCTCAGGGTCAATTCATGATCTCTAAAGACATTTTGCTTCCCAGCCACGCTCCAGCTGTCCTTCAACCTGCTTCGGTTGAAACCAAAAATTCATCTCTACCTCAGCTTCTGCAGCCTTCGACTGTTTCTGGCAGCACATCATCAGAGCTCAAGGGGCTGCTGATGGCCCTCTTCCTCTCTGCTGATCATCCTCTGAAGCATCAATAAAACACACGGAGAGGCACGTGTGCCCCCCCCCACACCGCTCACATACATCCCCCGCCCCCACATCTTTCTTCAAGGGCAAGGACCAAAGGAGAAGGGGAGGGGAGCCAGGATGGGAGTGCCCCAGATCAATGGATATTTGAAACTCAAACACATGGCCCGGGACCTACGCTGCACGTGTTAATTACCACACATGTGCCCATAAAGGAGTCCGTTAAACACAAGGGGCCCAAAGAACAGAGCGAGGAAAGGACATTCCAAGGGATTAAGTAAATAGTCTGAAGTTCTGACCCTCCTCCCCCCGCCCAGAGCACGTGCATCTGGGTAAGATAACAGCGCCGCCCTCCCTCCTTCCCCCACTTCTCCCCTCAGGCCCCACACCTGTGGACCCAGGAGCCACAAGCCAGGCCTCCTGTCTGGGCCAGCCGCCTGTGACCCGCTACTGCCTGGCCTCTCTCCCTCCTCCCTTCCTCCTGCTATCTCTCTGAGCCTCCTCCCCCAGCCTCCTCTGTAGGGCCTTCTCCTCTCCTCCGCAGGACTAATTCCTGGCTGGCAACCAGACCCTCCGTCTCCGCACAATACACCTTTTCATTCCTTCCAGGCAGAGAGAACCGATCCCTCTGAGCCCTGTCAGTGGAACGGGCTCCCAAAGGCAAGAGGGTGGGGAGAGAAGGGCCTGGGCCCGCTCCTCCCCCGCTGCCCCCTGCCGCCCCCACCACTCTCACACCCAGACCTGGGGCGTCCTTTCTGGCTGTACCCCTCACCCTGCGCGAGGGTCCAGGCTGCGCATCTCTGCAGCAGCCCTCAGGGCTGTGAACTCCAGCTCTAGGGAGATGCCGTCTAGGAGACCCCACGTGTGGGCACCAGCTCAGACAAGGGGCCTTTGTGTCTTCCCACCTGCTGCCCTCCGGAGCACATTCCATTCTTAAGTGGCAGCTGAGAGAGGGACCTCAGCGGCCGACACAGGATATTACAAATGCCCTCTCGCACCCTGTCCCCCTTCAAACCCCAGCTTCCTGGACAGGTGTGGCTTCAGGTGGCCCTTCCTACAGGTGGCCTGAGCCTGCTTTTCTCTGCACTGCCCACGGCAGACAAAGAGAAGAGGATTAGCACCTAAGCTGATCCTCCAAAGTAGAAGGAAGGAGATGCTCTGGGTAAAAGTCAAGTCTCCAGAGGCGAGTGAGCCCTAGCATCCCCCACCAGGCCTCTGCACCAAAGAGGAAGCCTCTGCAGAACCATCTGGGAGGGAGGAGCCCATCTGGTGTAGGGGAGCAAATTGCTGGAAACCAAGCAACTTATCTCTAAGATGAGGCTCCAGACTCTATGCCCCTATTCCTTGCACCATCCCTGGAGGAATCAGGTGTCCCTGTCCTCTCCCAGCTGGAGCAGCAAGAACCCACAATGGCCACAGGTCTGTTTCTTTTGTTGTCCACAGGGTGCAAAGCCACATCAACCTGGAAAGTACTTCCCTGTACCGTTTAAGATCCCAGATCCCATGGTTCACCTTTCTCGGTGTGGGCGCTCCATTCAGCATCATGCCCTCAGTTCCCTTTGGTGGGGGAGATCTGGGTTGTCTGTTTTGCATGACTGCCAATTGTTTTTTCTACCACTGAGATCTCATGCCCCAGAACAAAGGCGATGTTCCTGAAGTCTTCAGTTGTAACAAGTCAAATCGAAGGCAGCTCCGCTTCGCAACTCCAATAAATTGCAGACTGACACACGTGCCATTCACAGTGTTGAGGAGGTCAGGTCTTTGCAGGAAGAACCATTCACGCCCCTCTCCCGCTTTCCTACCTAGAAGGGAATGGCCAGCACGCAGGGCAGCGTCTCCCTGTTCCGGGAAGGACCCAGAAAGGCAGTTGCTCCCTCCTTTTTGCCCACGGATGCATTCCTGCTTATGGGAAGGCCCATTCATCCATGTTTTCTAGTGGGATTCTGATGCTCCACTTCCTCGTCCTCTTGGAACACCTGCATTCAGCCCGGCAGCTTCTCCAGAGTCTCATTTCCTGCATCCGGGCAGGGTGGTTTCGCCTCCTCTTCCCATTCCCATGGGACAAGCATGCAGGGCGGTTCTGGGCCTCACTTCCATCTCCCTGTGACCAGAGGTGCAGGACAAGCCATGCGCCTCACGCTGACCCTATACAGGCCCGACGCGCCATGTGGACATTTAAGTCCAGTTCCCCCAAGGCCCAGATTCAGGTGCAAAGCCTCAAACTCAGCTGCCATCTCCTGGCTGGGTTTTTACCCAAGAGCCCGAAATAGGGGTTCTGGAGTGTTTGTACATTCAGTGAAATTGGTATTGGTCCCCCATGCAGCTACCAGAGCGTGTGCTCACGCGCTCTCTCTCTCTCACTCCACTCAAGTGGCAGTGGAGCTTAGTGTCCTCCACCCCGGAAATTATGGTCAGCATATCCCAGGGACTTATTCCTCATGTTGGCTGCCCCACTAAACAGCACTCAGACAAGTGCCTTAATTGAGGTTAGCCACATAATTTGTAGGGCCCAGTGCAGAATGAAAATGCAAGGCCCTTTGTTCAAAAAGCAGGAAAATAGTGCCATTAAGGGCACCAAACTATAAAGTTTTATCCTCTCTTCCATGGTCTCTCTCTTGACTTGTCATGGTGTTTTAAAATTTTCTATTTAATGTTGTTCTAAGTAAAGAAGGATTAAAATTTTTCACGTCCTGTGGAAGCCCCCACAGCACACGTCACAAAAGCGATATGCCAACAGTGGGACAAGGACACATACATGCGCGCCTCACTGTCCCACTGGGCTTTACTTAGCAAAACACAAGTTTAAAGATAGAATGATTAAGAATTCCAAGACAATAGCAGCACAGGTTGCAAGCCTGTGAAGCTGGGCTCGTCTTAGTGAAGAAAATCTGGATGGGCTGGAACAATTATTAAGGAGAATCAGCGAGGGGGGGGAAAGATGTTCAAACTGGTTTCCAAAACAAGAGGGTCGGGGCAGACCTGGATGTGCCTACCTTCATTGTCCTTTTTGGTTGCATGCTGGCTACCTGGTAGCTGACTGACTGAACCGCCCAGGAGCCAAGGTTTTCAGGGTCCCTGCCAGCTCTGTACCCTGTGCTCACTCACCTCCCTCAGAAATTCTGGGAGCGTAGTCCCCACTGCCATTATGAGCCTTACTTACCTCCTCCGCTGCTTCTAGGAAGAAACCCAGGATAAGAATGGAGATTTTCTGTGGGGGACTTTTAGCTTACACCCAGGCTCCTTCCATCTTGTCTAGAACTCTTCTTGGACTGGCTTTAGAAGCAAACATTTGGATAGAGCATAAAACTCTACTCACCTTTCCTTCCTGAGTTACCCTGGCTCAAGGGCTTGTCAGTGACTGAACCTTGGGTAAAAGGGAAACAAAAACATAGACATTCAGAACGTATCCTGGTTGGTTTCTTTCAAAGAGCTGGCAAAGCCTGACACTGTGAGCACATGGTTATGTATATACATACATTGTATACACGTCTGGGGACATTATATACAAAGTACACACATACACGTTCTATGGCGTTTGTTTAACATCAATGTCACTGATATCACAGTCCCAGTGAGGTGAACCATGATTTCCAGGCAATAATCTTGACCAGATTTTTACAAAACTTCACCTCCACAGAACTCCCCTGGTGAACATTCCAGAAACTTCCCCTCACCTCCACTGCCCATCTCCCCCACTTCCCACTGCCTCCATGCTCTGAGCCATGTCCACTCAGTAGGGCCAACTGAAAAGAAGCCCCTCTTACTGCAAATACGATGACTGACATCCCTTGCTGGTTAGGGCAGGAAATCGGTGATTTTCCATCTGCATTAAGTAGAAAATTGTTGGCCCAATTGTACTGAATGGGCCAAAATAGTCTGAGGCATGGAAACAATTTTCTAGACTCAGCCTGCTCCTCAAGGAGGGGGTAGTGTGTGTGTTTGGCCAAATGCTTTGCCCTGCTAATGCTAGGATGCCATGTGCACCCATCCTGTGGTCCCGACCCCATGGCACCTGTCTTCTCCATGAAGCCCACACATGCAGGGCAGAGCCAGCACACACACGTAAGGACATCTGTGGAGGTCCCACCACCAAGAGAAAAAAAAAAAAAGAATCCCTATTTTCTCATTCCATAGCATACTCCTTCTCCATATATTAGTTTTGTGAGTATTCAGTTATATTACCCTGCATGGCTTGTTTCTAGTGCATTTGTTTGCTTTAAATTAAACTTTCCAGGTCATTTGCAAGGAGGGCTCATTCCTGCCCCTCCCCACACCAACCCCAATTAAGGTTTCCAGTTTCCATGTAAACCACAAATAAAGTAAACTTTCCATTTTGGCCTGCAAATCTTGGTTTCCTAATGTAGATACTTATTGCCCTTTCTTACCATTCCCTCTATATGGCACGGCCAGTAGAAAAATGAATAAATCTTGTGAAAAAAGAAAAATGTTAGGATAGCAGGACTGCTAGCCCTTGGAATTTCTCATAGGCTTTAGAATAATGCTTTATACTTTGCTTGGACTTAAATATTCAAGATAAGTAAATAAATAAAACTCCATACACACAGATACAAAGAAATATGAAGCAGCTGGTGGCTGGATGGGCTTTTTTGAATGAGGGCTGAGCCACACAGTGAATTAAGGGAGTGACTCCCAAGTCCCCTACCATCTGAATGGAAGTAGAAAGTGTGGGGTTTGTGTAAATCCAAAATCCATGATCCCGTGAGGTTGACCCAAGAGCAAAAATACTCTGTGCTCATAGAGTTGGCAAGGATTTAATTTCTCTATGGACTAGTGTAGTGGGTCACTATGAAGCAATGATTCCCTCCCTCATCTAGTCATCAAAACCACCTGAGAAGCTCTGCAAACAGGTGGCCTCCAGGTCCCCCTCCATACCTACTGGATCAGACTAAAGAAGGTGGAGCCTCGACACCTGGGCTCTTTTTAATTCCCCAGGCTCTGCTGCTAACAGCCAGATTTCAGGGCCACTGTGATGAATGTTTTCCATTCGTCTACATTACATTGTTTGGGGGAGGAGGAGCAGATATATGGCACACGGGCCACCACTCTCTCCTCGTGTAGCCATGACAGACATCACTAGTTGATCATTCAGCCTTAAAACCCATTCGGTTTTAAGATTGGTTTTAAGATCCATCTCAGTGATGTGCTCCCAAGGCCACTGGCAACCAGAGCGCCCTGGCTAAAAACTTATATGCCATTCTCTAGGGATTACAGCTGGGGCTTGGGAAGAGAGCATTGAACCAGAAACCTAAACTCAAAATAAAGAAATATATACACACAGGCATATACTGACCCAATAGCCCAGCTACCTACAGAGCAAGTGTGTCAGCGTGGAATCCTCTCTGACCTGGAAGAGGGCTCCTAACCACCCCCCCATCTTTCAACCATTTTTCCAAGGTTCCCCCACAAGATGCAAGAGACCAGCTAAGGGGTCTCTCTCCAACTCTTTTCTTTCTTCCCGCCCCTCCCTACGGTACCTGAACATACAGGAGTTTTATTCTGCACAGAAGAGCCACTGATGGGCTTCCCATCTGGGGTGACACACCAGCAGTACCCTGTGTAAGTATGGCACTGCACCTGTTCAGGGAAGCGGGGGAGGGAAAGAGAACCGTAAGTCGTGGGTCACCATATCAACAGTCAGCTCCCACCCCTTCCAAAGCATTGCCACTGTGGTGGAGGAGTTCCTTCCACCTCTCACCCAGCACCAGTCCCCACTGTCTCCTGCAGGTGGGTCAGTCAGTTGACAACATGGATTATGCATCTTCTGTGTGACTCTGACTCCCAGGCACAACCACAGCAACCTAGCTACATCCTTCTTATGACGTGTAATGCTGAATATCTTATATCCTACCTAGAGATAAGATAGTAAGTGATATCCTCTTCATTCTCCACCCCGCCCCCCAAACGCTGGCATACTCTCCCAACAACTGTAAAAAATTCTGCTTGGTGAACTAATTTGGCAAGTACACGTTGGGATGTCACCATGGCAGGCTGTAATGGCCCTTGTCGCTGTAAGCAGCGACAAGTAGTGGGCTCTTCCTCCTTTTCTAGCTTCCCCCAGCATCTGGCCATATAATCGGCCTGCCTATTGATCAGGTGGCTCTCCTGAGACCAGGGCACATACTAGCGGTTGCCCACTAGATGACAGGGTTAAGGTAAGAACAAAGTCCCTTGACCCTACAGCTTCTAGTTCTAGATGCCCTGCTGCTCCTCTGTGTGATCATCCCCAAGCCTCCATAATTCGATCCACCCTATCTTGGAATAGTAGATACAAATGAGGCTTTCGTTTCATTTGGGGTGACTCTTCTCTCTCTTCCAACAGCCATCACTCTGTCCACTCCCTCTCACTGCACCCCATCCCACCACCCTCCTTCTCATCCATTTCCCAGCACGGAGTTCCTAAACACAAATCAGTGCTGAAAACCACTCCACGATTTGCCATTGGATTCAGGATAGCAATTAAGCTCATTAATATGGAGCTCAAGGTCACGGCGATCTGCCCCCTGCCTATCCCCGAAGCCTCATTTTACACCCATGTCTCCACATACACCCTCCAGTGGAACCACAGTGAACCCTTTGAAGCCCGCAAACACACCCTAGGATTTCATGATTCTGAATATTTGTTTGTTCCTACTATTCAGTGGTCCGGGATACCATTCCCCAAATCATCCCCCACCCTCTCCTAATCCCTTCGTATTTCCACCCATTTCATGACCCGCTTTCTCTGCAAAGCAGTCCCAGCCTCCCCTCCATACACCCTGGCTCTCTAAATTCAGTCCTTATCTCCCCATCAAGACTGTGACCTTCCCAAGGCAAGGGACTGCATCCTGGTTATTCTCTATCTTCTAAGCATCTAGCAGAATGCCTGGCATTTACTGTAGGCATTTGGTGAGTTGAATAAGTGCTTAATTATCATATTTCCTCAATTCTTGGTCCCCATCAATTCTAAAAATGTAGCACCAATTTAAACAGTCCCGCCACATTAAACATGGACCTCAAGGACAGGATGGGTGCCAACTGCAAAGATATTAACATGTGGGAAAAAAAATTGCCTCTTGGGATCAAGGACGTATTGGAATCAAGGATGGACAGTAACAGCATACAAATTGACTGGTGAAGTACACAGGGGTATATAGGCAAGAGAGATCTGATGGCCTGGGTGAAATTCAGAAATGATCAGAAAGGCAGAAAAGCTCCAGAATGGCTTCTGCTCTTGTGTGGGTACCAAAAGCTGTAGTTTTCCTCAAGACTAGTTGTTTTACTACAGACCTACCCACAGAACTCAGGATAAGAACAAACTGGAGGGCATCTTGTTTCTACCAGTATGACGACTGGGTATAAATGAGATGTTGACCTCCACTGTCCCGTGTAAAGAAACTACATTCAATGCCTTTACTCCAGTACCATATTCCAGTCCCACTTCACCTCATGGAGACATCTATAAACCCAATGCCTATCGCTGCTGCCTCAGATGCTCACCCACGATCAGTATCTTGGGTTGAGTCAGTGCTACCTTCTGAGAAAGCCTAATAATGGAATGGAAGAAACCCAGACAGACCTGGGTTTGAATCTGGATCGAGCCAGTTACAAATTAGGCATGTTGCTTAGCTCTTTGAGCCCCAACTATAAAATGGGGAGAACAACGCCAAACCTGGAGGGCCCTGGCAAGGAAAACAGACAGTGTGAGTCCAGTGCCTGGCACGGGAGATGGCTGGGTACAAGGTGGCCCCGGCGATGATCGCTCTCAGCTGTGTCAGAGACACCTGGCAGGCCGGCCCCCTCCTGGGCCAGAGCTCCCCTAGTAACCTTCAGAGGCTTGGGTGGGAAACGCCGCTGGAAACTTGGGAGTTTTCCCCTTCAGATTCTGTCAGCCCTGCAGGGGATAGTTCCTAGATGATTTCTCACCAGCGGCAGCATTTTAATGGGGCCTGGCTGGCTGCTTTCTCCTCCCTGGCCAATAATACCTGTGGGGAAACCAGTCCCCGGAGCTGGGCTGCCACACTGACTCACTCCCAGGCCCCTTGGCTCCCATGGCCAAGGCCAGCTTCCCTCTCCATGAAGACTCTACCCGCCTCCCCCCCACCCCACCCCACCCCCGCCAAGTCCAACACTGGAAGCAGTGCCTCTGGACCAGTGCTGCCTGCTGGGGCTGGGTGCTACGGTCACTCAGGCTGCAGAGAATGGCTGGACAAAAGCCCTCTCCTCCCAGGCGTGCAGAGTTCCAGCCAAAGCTACTGAGGAGTGAACTAAATGCATGAGTAGGAGGCTAAACCCAATGCTTTGTTACAGGGGATATAATCTGACCTCTGGGCTAAGCAGGTCCCCAGGGCCACAAGCTCACTGAGTGTGCCCATTGTATCCCTATAGGCGTGTGGATGCTGTCTCCCAGCCCCCAGCCAGGCCCACAGGCCCAAACACAGCCCCTTTTACCCCAGGGCTCTCAGCATTTTCCTTGGACCAGGCTCCAAGGAACAGACTCCAGATTACAAAATCCTCAGGCTGGGAAGAACTCAGGAGGTGACCCGCAAGGTCACTTCCCTTTGCCAAAGGAGCCCCATGTTGTTCACCCATGATTCTCAATCAAGAGGTTGTTTGTAAGTTGTCTTGGGGAGTTTTCAAGATGTCTTCTAGAAGAAAAAGAAGTTACATGGAGACAGAAAGCAAGGGTCATGGAGTCAGAATGCAGCCCACTTAACTAACTAGCTCCACCACTGAAGTTAAGTTAACCACTTATCTTTCCAACCCTCTGCAGCCTTGGAAAGGTCCTTAATCAAACCAAGCCTCAGACTGTCCCTGTCTACTTAAAAACTGGAGATAATTATGGGGTGCCTGGCTGCCTCCACGGTTAAGCATGCCACTCTTGGTTTCAGCTCAGATCATGATCTCAGGGTCATGAGATCGAGCCCCATGGCGGGTTCTGCACTCAGTGCGGAGTCTGCTTGAGATTCTCTCTCTCCCTCTCCCTCTGCCCCTCGCCCCACTCGTGCTCTCTGTATCTCTTTAAAAACAAATAAATAAAATATTTTTTAAAAATAACTGGAGACAATTACACTTACCTCACTCTGTTGTTGAGAGGATTAAATTAGATAATGTAAATAAAGCACTGAGCTCATATGGTAAGTGCCTGGTTAAGCTTAGGTATTTATTTTTATTATCATCGTGTTATTTTTGAGCAAACTATCTGTACACTCAAAAAGGGCACAGCCAGATTCTCCGATGGGCACAGCCAGATTCTCTGATGGAAACCAAAGAACATCCTATTCTGACCAGTCCCAGCAGAAGGGGTAAATTCAGCAAAAAGTTTGAAAACATTAGTGGGAGAAGGGAAATTTTGTTTTCATACAGAAACAGTTTAATTACTCTCAGAGGAGAGAAGTAAGGCTTCTTGCAGAAAAGCAGTCAGGCTGTAAATTCTATAGAATTGATGGTTTATATACACACAATCAACATGTAAATTCTACCTAGTTTGGCTTCCTCCCTTGAAAACTTATTTAAGGTTTTAAATTAATAAGTAATCCCCTTTGGTCTACCTCCCCCCACCCCAGCCTCAAATTAATCAACTTTCATATTTAATTTATGGGAAAATCGTGGGCCACAAGGAATTGAAAAGGTAATTAGCCATTTCTAGCATCTCACTATGTGGCTCTCAAAGTTCAGGGTTGTTCCAGGCCCACAGGTATAGATACAAACCATGGAATTTGCTCCCATTCCTCTCTGGAGCATCCTGGGAAAGCTGAAATGTCAATTTATGGGTTTTCCTTCAGAGACAAAAAGTGTTTGTACAGCAACCTCAGTGAAATTACTCACGGCTTAAC